GTGAGACATGATGTTTGAGCTGTGGAGCCTTTGTCAGGTGCGTGAGACATGATGTTTGAGTTTTGAGCCTTTCTCAGCTTTTTGAGGCACACTGGCATTTTTTATTTTTTCCCAAGTGAAATGAATGGGCAATAATGGGTTTAGAGAGTTTAATGTTTTAATGCTCGCGACTCTTCTAATTGTGAAAGGCTGCCAAAAAAGAAGAGAGGCATTCCTGGCTTCAGCTTCACTGCTCATTGGAGCGATGTACTGTAAGGCACTAACCTGTCTGTTCATGAAAATGTAGATGAGAGGGTTGTAGACCGTGCTGCTCTTAGTGAGGTACATCGGAACAGTGGCAATGATTGGGTTTATCTCGATCTCCGGATTGAAAATCACTGTCATAGCGAAAGCTGCATAGGGGAGCCAGCAGATGAGGAAGGCCAGCACCATTATAATAACCATGCGTGTCACCTGAACCTCAGCCTTGGCAGTGGTGCCCCCTTTGGCTACTCCAAGACTGGAAACCTGGGACAGAAATAAACTCAGAGTTAGGTACACAACCTAAAAATGACTGAGTATGTTTGGCCTTTGGTTGTAGCTTTGAGAAGATTTAATCCTGATTAAATTCAGCACATCATTATGGACAGTATACCAAACAGATACACTTACAAATACATTCGTATTGTGTATTCCCAAATGTCAAATCATATAGCGCTCTTGGAAAAGTCAGCTGTTTGCCACATTTCCTAAGTATTTTGCACTGTTTGCTCTGTTTGTGTACTTTTGCACAGTTTTTTACCGATATGGGTACTGTCATACTGGTACCATACTTGTTGTTTACATTGTTATGGTTATTGTTTTTACTGTCTATTGTCTTGTCTGCCGTTCTGTATATACTTTACTGCACCTGAGAGACTAATGAGAAACACTTTTCATTATACTATGCACCTGTGTAAGTACAGTATAATGCCAAATAACGTTGAATTGAATAACTATTTACTTATAACCCATGTTTGTGCCAAAGCAAAACATATCTAAGCAATTCTTGGAAAAAATACCTGTTTTATTCAAAGAAACTTGTAAGAGATTGGTAATGATTTCAATACTCCAGATATTAAAGCTTAAATCTTTCATTTTTTTCCTAACAGCCAGGGCATCCTGCGACAGCTTTTCCCCAAGCCCTTTATATACAGTGTTCAGTGCAGTTTATTATGGTCTGAAATAATCTTTTTCCTCTTTCTAAGCAAACCCCTTTAAAAACAGGGAGAGCCTTTAAAAACACGCAGATAAAAACGTTCTGATTTACTCAGCAAGCCTTCATACAATGCTTATCTTTACTTCAAAATACAGCCAAAGGGAAGATAGTCATTGTGAGCTTGCTGCATGAGCTACAAATGATAAAGAAAATTACCTTTTTTAATGTCCACAGGAGACGTGAATATGAGAACACAATGATGGTGAATGGCACAGCGAAACACAAAGTGAAGTAAGAAATAATGAAGGAGACGTTGGCAGGGTTTCTGCTGTACCAATCTGGGGCACAGGAGGTCTTCACGCCCTCCAGCTGGTAGCTACCCCAGCCAAACAGAGGGGGCGTGTTCCAAATGAAGGACCATACCCAGGAAAACACCACCCCCACCGTAGCGTGTCTTGTGCGAAAAATGACTGTTCCCAGGGGCTTGCACACCACCATGAAGCGATCCACTGCAATCACTGCAACAGTGCACAGTCCTGCAATGCCTTCAAGCAGATTACACGTAATCAGAATTAGTTAGACAGTAAGTGCAAACTGCAGAATTAAAACACTTTTTATTAGAGCAAAAGCTACACGTGTTGCTGTAGCTTGTACCGGGCAAAGACACATTTTAAAGGTTAGATCAAGTCTGTGTAGTTCAATGGGTTTGTGAAGAACATCTAATAACACCACACACACACACACACACACACGTTTAAAAATATATACTGTGTATAATTGTACATTTTCTTAAACCTCCTCTTTTTAAATAAGACATATCAGAAAATTAAAGAACTATATTATTTTATAAAGAAAATAACTATGCAAATTTCCTTTCTTAGTCATTCTTTCTCTACCAGATCTATAAATGCAGTTGTTATGTATTTCTATAATGAATCAGCCTATTAATTAATGTGGCATGCCTTAATTAAATGATGTTCTCTATGTAAGCTGCATTTATTACCATTGCATCTGCTGTGTGAATTCATGAAATTCAACTTACCAAAAAAAGCCACAGAAAATCCTTCAATTACACATCCTATTCTGCCTAGGCTGAAGTAGCCCATTGCATTTGTCAGCACGGTCAGTGACCCCCCTGTCACAGTAACACCCAGGTCAGCGACTGCTAAATTCACCAAAGAATAGTTTATGGGCTGTCTTAGCTGCCTGTGACGAATTGTCACCAGAATAACGGTAGCATTGAGGATGATAGCTGCAGTGCAGAATACTGCCATGATAATAGCTAATATTGTGTAGCCAATTCTAGGCATCAGGATTTCTTCTTTGCCTGAATCCTGGGAAGTTGAATTCACTTGAGCAGCAGGAGAAAATGTTGCACCATCCATGATGTGAGATAGGAATTGCAAAAAAAAAAATTCTGGATGTAAGCAAAATAAAAATGTAGGTTCACTACAACTTGTCTTGGGAGCAAAAAAGCTTCTGGTACTTCCTTTTATGAATTCCAGGAGCAATGCAAGTGACATGCTGGAGATTATATGACACACCTTAGGGTCTTAGAGTAAATCCCACAAAATCCGGATTTCAGTTAATGTAATGCATCCAGCTAATTTTCTAATTGATCTCTGATTCTGCATTTCTTGATTATGGTCTGCAGCTGACAAAATCAACTGAAATAATTGTGCGATGTGCTCCCAATGTTTGATTTCACATTGAAGAAAGGTTTCTTCTTCAAGGTTTCATATATTTTAATTTGAAATACCCCCTTTCAAGTGTTTCCTGTGACGCAAATGCAATACATTTAAACATATTTGAATTCAAGTCATTTTTTTCAGAGATGCAGCAAATGCAGGAAGAACTTTAAAATGTAGGAATTCTGTTTGTGGAAATAAGAGTGTATCTTTTCTCTTTATGACCGACCTCTCTGCAGTGACAGTGCACTTATCAGGGTGATTTCTGAGCAATTAGATGATAGGTTATTCTTGGTATTTGTGTAAAAAGTGTGAAGTCCCATAAGGTTGAATAATGTTACTTGTATAACATATTCAGATGTTTTCAAGGTCGGGAACATGGAAGCCTAAGCTCTTTTAAAATACCTGGATATTTATACATAATGGATGTTGCATAAGCAAAAAAAACAATGCCTGACTCTGTGGTCACCTTGCCTCAGGAGTGAAATGGAAGAGATGTAGAGTATGGGTCTATTTCATGGCTGAATTTCAGTCCTAGTTATTTTGTAAAATAACAAGACTTATTTTATTCCCTCTAGTCACATCTTCCATTTTACATAATAGCTGGTAACCGCAATATGAGAACAGTAATGCATGTTCCTGAAGTCCTAAAGATAGATCACTTAACTAAAGGAGTGTTTTACACAGAAAAGCTGATACTGTCAATGTATTGCAGTCAGATCATGTAGACCTTTGGAGTCACAGCTGTGACTCTGTACCCATAACTGATTTAGAAAATGGTAGTGGCTTTTGAAATAATTGAATAAATATACGGTATATGATTTAATAAACAAACTTGCAGAACTTAATGGACGTTATATGAATGTCACTTTTCTATGAAATGTATAACTGATATAAAGGCAACGAGTAGAAACCTATAAGCTTATATTTATGTATTATTATGAAAGTTATATTTTATAAGTAAAGTTAAACTTTAAACATGTTTTGTATACAATGCTGTTTGGCCCCATTTTCCAGCTCTAACAAAATGCATTTACGTTGTGATTTTAAAATACAAAAGGACAAAAACAAAATCTGTGAGGTCCGTGAAGCCATGATAGAATTCCATGTGGACATCTGTTGTTTTGGTTTGGATTAGCAGAGTCAGGTCAGGTGAACGAAGTTGCTGTAAGTGTTAACGTAACATCTTTGCATGCCTTGTTACATATAGACCATTCTCATAACTGAGATGAAAGCCATAATCATGGGATTTATTACAAATGCCCCAGCCAGTGCTCCTCAAAAGACCTCATGTATCTCTTTAGGACACAATTTTCCGACCGTATGTACTGAACGTGTGTACACGAGTGAACTAGTGCTGCTGTATGTGTGGTGCATTTTAATCTCTCGTGTTTATTTGATTGTTCCGTTTTTCTTTTGTTTTAACATGTTTTTTTCACTTTTCCTGTAAAGTGCTTTAAGAGATACTTTTAAAGGTGTTACATTCTGTAAATGCACATTATTATTATTTTTATTATTATTATTTTTATTAAATTCAAGAATCTGCTTGGATCAAAATCCTGTAGCGTGTGTCCTGCAGGAAATGCAACAGTTTGGGTAGACGTGGTCTAGACTCCCACATCATAAAGAAGAGCCTGGGACCTCTTGAAGTTTTCTGCTAAGGCTTTCATTGTCTACACTGTAAAGAATCCATTCATCTTCTTCCTACAGGAAAAGTGTTCCAGTGGCAAAGGCTTTCAGGCAAAGGTTTTAGAACACAGGCACATGCATGTATCAAGCATGCCCATCCTTTTTATTAAAACCAGGTATATAGCACTGAATTTTAAGAAACATACAAAATGTGTAATATTGCAGCCAGTTCATATGTTTAAAGTGTTCTATAACTTTTTTATTTGCTGGAGTTGCCTTCGACATTGCAACAGTGAATCGAATTAAGAGAACTTACTTTTTGGAAAAAAACATAAATTGGAATTTTAAGGCAGAAAGATGTCTGTCTGCTTTTACCCTCTGTTGTGCACTTACACTCTTAAATACAGAAAAAAATACCTGAAGCTTAATTCTTACCAAACAAATAAAAAATGGAATTCCTTTGGAGATATGACGTTCCATTTTGGTACATTTATTAATTCACATTTTAATAGCCTGTAATGAAAGCTTGTACTTCGAGGACAATGGAGGAAAATCTGGAAACAGAGGCAATGGTACTGAAAACGACCTTTTAAGAGGTTTACTTTTAAATTAAGTGTAGATACGGATTAGGGTGAAGTGGCTGCCCTGAATTACAGAAGAATTAAAAGATGTCTGTTTAAGAACAAAAGACTCCCTCAATTATGGACTGGTTTTAAAGTGTAAATGTACATTTTTTCAACATTTACTGTAGTGTCTTTGTAGTACTACTGAATATTTTTTTAAATACACACACTGTACTATATATATATTTATTTGGCAGACAGTGTTTATACTTACTGTAAGCATTCTAAGTTAAAAAAGCCAAGCAAATGAACAATTAACCATCTTTGGTTTTAGTCTATTTTAATATAGTGGCAAATGATACATGGTATAATTCAAAAACTATAAAAAAACATGACTGTTTGGTTACAAAGCAAACTTGTTTTTTTATCTCAATCCTCTATCTGTAATGCTGGGTGTATGAGCCATTGTTACTGTGACTTATTCTACTGTATAGTCTGTAATAAAGATGAACAGGGGACATTAAGAGGGACATTGTTTTTTTGTGCCAAAATTACATTTAAAACCACTGAGATAAAATGTTTTTTTGCCGTGTTTACATGAGACATTTCATGACAGTTTTTCAAAAGCGTAACACACTACTTGTGATGTCATGTCCAGACCCAAGTAATGTCTGAACGTGGCCCTGTAACATAACTTAACCTGCCCTCCCGGGTCAACATTCAGCTTCTGGTTGTTTTTGTGACTGGTGCAGAGTGGTATACTGTTGAGTTGTAAACCGATTTAAGAAACCAGTTTAAGATCTATAGAAAACAAAATTTCCTTGTCACCTTTTTCATTTACAGAATTTTAAAATTGAATACCCAGCCTTGTCAAACAAATCAATGCAAGTATATTTCTGAGGCCCTTCTGCAAAATCCTTTTTTAACCCGTTAACAGTTTCATGGAGTACTGCACATCTGTCTGTTCTAATGAAATTCAAAAACAATAAAGAATGTAACTACTCACGACTTAATTAAAGTTAGTGTTGATATCTGACCTAGTTTTCTCTTGGTATTTGACATAGTTGGGCAAAGTGCTATTAATCCAAACTGAACTTGTATAGACCGATTATCTTTCGAGGCCATCTCTTTTTGCTATCAAATTTGTTGGTGACATATGTATTACAAAGTAATCAGATTTAGCAGACAGATCTGATTGCCAATACATTTTTAAAATGCTCTTTGGTTATATTGAGTACCTGACCACGTGGAGGGGAACACACGGGGCAGTACTTCCAGAGAAAAAACTAATAACATGCAAACATTTCCACTAGATGTCAGCAGTGAGTTGAAGTGAAAGCGATCTGTCGTTCACCTCTCTGGATGCAGGACATTGTTCGGAAGGCTTTTTGTTTTTTTAACCATCACATGTGAAATCTTTCAGGGAAACAAATTGTCACATTATACATACTTTACTATTTGTTTTCTCAGTAAGGTCTAATAAAAAGCGAATATTTTTATGTTTCATGTAGCAATTTCAATGCAGAAAAAAATCTTAAAAGTTAAGTATTTATTATAATCTGCAATATTGGTGGTTTGTCACAGTGGCTCCTGGTGAGAAACTTATGTAAAGTAAAGAAAAAAATTATGTAAGAGAGATTCCATTAAAAGGACTTGGTGGTGGGTCATGTTTTCAACTGTATTTCTTCTGTTTTACAGCCATTCGCTGACCATGAATGTCTCATTTTTCATTTGATATAAAAAACATCAAGCGATTACATGTTACATGTCAAGCGATTGGACAACACTTGTTGTCTGGCATTTGTGAAAAATGTGACCCCATACAATTTCACAAACTTCCTTTTAGACAGTCTAAAAAGTACATATTGCCAAATTCTGGGGATAATGTTACGTTTTCTTAGCAAGTCAGCAACGTTAAAAGTTGAATTTTTAAGTAACGCATAATATCAGAAATTAATTCTCAGACCTAAAGATTTGCTTCTGGGTCTTTGCTGTAAGCACAGGCAATACTCAGCAAACCAAGACGCAGAGTTGTAATGTCCACTGTAGTCTGAACTGATCTAGATCCACACGAGTGCAGTCATGTCCGGTATTAATCAAGTGATTCTGTGCAGTTTTCTCCTTCCCTTTGGATGCAAATCCTTCAGAGCAACGGTTCCCTTTCTATTTTTTCCTTTTCCTTTCGCCGCTTTGTATAACTTAAGGATGATTTCCCTATGATCAGCCAGCACAGAGTCTTGTATGGTGGCGCTGACAGCGGCGTTTTCCCTGATTGATTGCGATTTTGTTACATTTTTATTCAAAGGCGGCCTCCAGAGATTTCATTAATCTGCTGTCTGAGCTAACTCTGTGTTTATGCAGTGTGTAAAACAGCACAAAGCACACTGTCTGCTTGGAGTGTGCTACCATATGATGTGACTTAAAAGATTAGTTAATGGATTTTAGAAGCACAGGCTTGTAAAATAAGAAGCAGTTTCCAGCTGTATTCCACTGCTCG